GCTCGCGGCCTGTGCGCTCCGCCGCTGGGGGACAGGTGCGCTCGCTTCCTTCGCCCCTTCACGGTGCCTCTGACCGCAGGCGGAGGACAAGGCGGACGTGCTGAACAAGGAGCTCCTGCTGACCAAGCAGAGGCTGGTGGAGACGGAGGAGGAGAAGCGGAAGCAGCAGGAGGAGACGGCGCAGGTAGCGGGCCTCGCCGGGTCCTCGGGCGGTGGCCGGGCCGGGGGCGGGGCTCGGGCACAAACCAGAGCGTTTTCTTCTAAATCGCCCGGAGCGACGGGAGCCTTGCGCTTCCCCTGAAGGTGCTGGGGAGGGGCGGCGCGTCGCGGGCAGCTTTCAGGACTGGACACAGCCGTGCGGAGCGTGTCAGGATCCCCCAGGCTTGGTGGCTCGGGGTTGGGACCCAGGGCTCGCACCCAGGGCTTCGACAGATGTGCAGGCCTCCCGTCGGGTCCCCGGGGTGCCTGGCTTCTCTGGGTAATGACAGGCTGAAGCCAGAGCCCAGAGGCCGCTGCTGGGAGGGGCCTCCGTCAGCCGCTTCATTCCCCGGTTCACGCCGTCCAGGGAGAGCGCAGCGCCCGGCGGCCTCGCTCAGGGGTCTCAGAAACCCCGGGGGGCTGCCCTGAAGCCAGCGCCCCGCAGCCTCGCTCAGGGGTCTCAGAGACCCCGGGGGGCTGCCCTGAAGCCAGCGCCCCGCAGCCTCCCCGGGCCAGGGGGCTGTTCTGCCGGAAGACGCCTCCGTCGGGGATGGAGGGTCCCGGGGGACGGGCGGGCCTCTGCCCAGGAGCCCACACCCGCGGCTCTCCTGGGGAGCAGGCTGCGCGCGTGGTCTCCATCTCGGTCCCATCCAGGCTGATTAACGCATTTATTTTAAAGTCTCATTCTGAGACACCAAAAATATTCAGTATAAAGTAGACCACAAACCTTTTCGAAGACCTGCATCCAAGCAGAGAAAGTTCCAGCGAGGTTGCTAATGAAGGGATGTATCATTTAGCACCTTTTAAGGTTTATAAAAAGTGTTCCAGGATTTTTTTTTCATTTTTTTGGAAAATGATAAAATGACTTTTTGGCGTTTGCTGTGGAACAAGAGTTTTGTTTTTTTAACGTACTCAGATTTTCAGGGGTTGATTATCCAATTTGATGTATGCCTTTTGTTGAGTATTGTTTTTTTCTTTTACTTCCTGCCTTGTTGGGGCTCACTTCAGTACCCCAGGGAAAGGAGAAGCTATTGGCAAATGCACTTAATCCATGCTTCTTCCATGTGTGTGTAGGAGGGTCACCTGTTTTAATCATTATGGTACCCTCATGGGTTTGTTAGATGAAGGAACTGTGGCTCAGAGAATTAAGTGTCAAACCCTCTCAGCCGTCTGTCTGTCCTAAGGGCCCTATGACAGGAGGGGAAAAGACCATGGTTTATGGCCTTACATTATGTAAGAGAATAGATATTAATTTAACAACTAAGTTTGAATCAGAATGACCTACAAATTGCTTTTAGAATTTTAGAATGTAGCAAATACAAAGAAATTCAGAAATGTAATGATGTGAGCCCGATTATCAATTGCACTAATCTGTGAGTTAGCAAGTACAGATTCATCTTTAAGTCCATAATCAGAATAAACGGGTGAATTTGGCATCGCAGCATCCCAAATTATAAATGGAGTATAAGCAAAGTTTTTGTTTGCTTGTTTGGTCAACAAGTTGGAAGAACTGATTTGTTTCCCCTCTATCTGGTGGCACCTGAGCCTCTTCATTGTTTTCACCTTCCCCTGTACCTAGACTCCTAGAGCTGTTAGACTACAAAAATAACAGGTTTTAAGTTTAGCATTCATAATTCTGTTACTGTGACAAGTACCTCCTTTCTGTGTCATCTTAGATACTTCTAAAGTCACTGTTCTTTATTCCGCAAATCTACTGACCTCGGGGGCTCTCATCTTTCTCCATCTTTTTCGGACTCCAGTCCCAAAGCCCCTTGTTCTTTCCTTCAGGGAGGTGACAGGGTGACAGTCAGGGACTGTGAGTAGGAAGGCCTAAAATGTTTTTTTCAGTAATTGATTATGTAGCATCAAGGGGCAATGCTGCCTTGACGTTTTCTTTTAGACTCATAGGATAAAGGTAGCTTCTGAATTGACCCTTAACAATAGGTTTATAAAGTAAGTAGTAAGCATAAGCAGTTTGATAATTGGATTGCTCCTATGTCTTATACATTACAGGAAAGAAAGATTTCTGTATCTCATAAGATGATCAGGTTTTTCAAATGATCAAGATGAAACTTCAATGAGGAAAGTGTATGTAGTTATACTGTTTACCTTGTCATTGGCTGTGAGTCAGGCACACCTGGATCTAGATGTTTGAGGGAATCATTAAATATTTTGACTGAGTCTTGATGTTTTTCATTCTCACTTTTTCTAGCTAAAGGAAGTCTTCAGGAAACAGCTAGAGAAGGCAGAATATGAAATAAAGAAGACTACAGCTATCATTGCCGAGTATAAACAGGTAATGTGCCCCTGTGCTTCTTGTTGCTATAAAAGTAATTGTTGTTGTTCTTTGGGGAAATATATTTTGTTTTTAGAGTTTCCAGAACAATGACTGCACTGCATTCATTAAATTTGGTGGCTTATTTTCTTCTCTGAAACTGGCAGTGGTTGGACACGCTTGCTGATAACATGGAGGTTTATTTGAGCAAAACAATCTGTTGTTTGTTCACAATGTTTGATAGATTTAGAGGAACTAGAAACATTATTATTACCATGGGGATCCTGTCTCTGCCCTACTCAGAAGCTAATTTCCTATAGAACACACTAGTAACATTTGCCTCTTTGCCAAGGATTAAAGTTTAGTGATTGTATTGAATGGCAGTAGCTAGGGGATCAGTGTGTCCTTGCAGTCACAGTATAGAATATGGGAACTCGTTTTCCCACATGGCTATGTGGCCTTGTAAAGGGAGACAATACCTGTGCATAAATAAGAGGAAAGGGAACTTACTGCGTAGGGGAGGGGGTGATGTGGGCTGTGCCTCAGAGGTCAGGTGAGCTGTGGGTGTGTGGAGAGGGAGAGGAGGGGATGAACATGGGGAACAGCACGTGCAAAGGCCCAGAGGTAGATTAGTTGACAGAAACAGTTTAATTTGGCAAGAGTATCAGATACAGAAGAGAAGCATAGGTGAGCTGGAGCCCACTTCAAGACAGATCATCAGGAACAGCTGAGGAGTTTGGATTTAATTGTTTGTAGTAGGAACGTTTGAGCAGGAAAGTGGCATGACCTGGGACCTATTCTCGGCACTACTGTGTCCCAGTGAGTAATATGGAACTAAGTGGGGATCCACAGGCAGAGACACAGACCAGTAAGAGGCAAAGCATGGAGACCAGGTGAGAAAAAATGGGACCCTGACTAAAACCAGTAGTGATGAAAACGGAAAAGAGGGAGACACAAAAGATAGTCATTTTTCGCTAGAACAAGGGAAAACATTGGAAGTGATCCTGGGATTTTGAATTTAGCTAAGTGGGAGAGGGGATAGTTAGACATTAACCATTCCAAGGAACATTTTAAAGGCCATGTTCTGTGGAACTCGCCATCGCTGCAAATGCATTTTTTGTCATTACCACGTTAGGCCATATGCCGCACTCTGCAAATAGCAGTCCTTGGGACTGTTCTTGAATGTTATCTGGCAGGCACTTTGAGTAATGTAAAAGGCAACAGACCCATCTGTTTGAAGATAATTAGGACATAAAACATGATCTAAATGCATTCTATAGTTGGAATTGGCCATCACTGGCCATATTTCAGAATGTTTTGGTTTACTTAAAAGGGTATGTGGCTTAAAATTACTAGGGTGATGGCTTCTCTTTAATGTCGGCTAAGGCAGGCCTGTTTGTTGTCTCTAGGCTTGGACCTGGAGAAATTAGAGACTGAACTCCACAAGCAGGCCCTGGCCTCTAGGACTGTTTTTGAGTAAACTGGGCTTTCCTTTTAGTGCCTGTTTTGATAAATGAAGTAGACCTTTTATGTTGTTAGTCCAAATTGCACTTGAAAATTTGACATCTTCTAACTTTTTATTTCATTACTCAAAAAGTAAAAGATTCAAATTTCACTCAAGTTCAGTAGGAGTTGAATTTCCAGTATTTTTTTAAAGCAATTTTTCTTTTTGGCTTTTAAAGCTTTTCTACCTGTCGTAGTACTTTGTTAGTACCTTATTTCAGAATCAGTAATAATGCGATTTTATTTACTGAGCACCTACTAGCCAGGTGCTATACTAACCCCTTTGAGTGTATTTTTCCCATTATTTTCACAGCACAACACTTTCTGGTCAAGGAGAAACTGAAGCTTGGGTAAATTAGTGAATGCTAGAAGGTGGTAGGAATGGACTCCCATCCCAGGCTTTTTGTTTTATGCTGTGTTGCCAAACCACTTGATGAGAGTTTTAGTCTTTATTATTTTCTGGTCATTTAACCTTTTTTAAGTTTTATTCACTCTGCCACTTTGTAAGGAAACTTTTGTCATTGAAAACAGAGACTCTTTCCGTGGCTGCAGATGGGAGACATTTCTGGCTCAGACTTCTTTTCATCTGATCCCCAGCACAAATCGTACCTTGCACGAAGTAGATACGCAGCAAAGATTCTGGAGAGCGATTCCAGAAGCAGGACAGGATTCACTGGAACCAGTCACAAAGGCTAAAGATGGAAAGAACTCAAATCTTCCCTATGTGTTTCTTCTACTAATTAAGATAGTGCTGTACACAGGGGACACTCCCAGGCTTTCTGCTGCTCGTTGCAGAAATGACTGGCATCTGCACAGTTTCTTCCAGCATCAGAGATATGATAATTCAGGAGCTGATACAGTTATGTGCATGCACTGTAAGAGTCGTTCCATTGTCCAGTAAGGAAACTTTTTTTTTTCCTTCTTTAGATCTGTTCCCAGTTGAGCACGAGACTGGAGAAGCAGCAGGCAGCCAGCAGGGAGGAGCTGGAGGTGGTGAAGGTGAGGAGGGGAGGGGTTCTGTGATAGAATTTCTTCCATGTTCACAGTCCTGAGTGATTACCTGAGAGGAGGGTCCCAGTACACGGTGCTGCCCCACGGGCAGGATGGCTCGGCCACATCACACCTGCCCGCCCCTTCATTCTCAAGGAACTAGGAATTGAGAATACTGCTGGGGTGTGACTGTCTTCCCTGCAGCTGAAAGGTTATGTCCCCGTAAGTCTTAGGTGCTGTCAGAGACAGGCAGTGGGTTTCAGCATTGCCGCAGGAGGCCTCGAGCTTTCCATGATAGTGGAAGCCTGGGAACCCTCAGCAGCCTGCATCCCACTGCCTGAAATGACGTGATGCTTCAGTACGTGACCCCTCAGTTTCATCCCATCACTCTCTTGAACAGTAAACAGTGTGGGTAGTCTGGAACTTGGCCGGAAAACACATGTTGGGCTCTAACACCAATTTTTTAGAGGTTTGTTTTTAAAGAAAACTTGTAGCATTTATTTATATACTGCCCCCTGGTGGTAAAACGCCTTACAATGATTACTTGAAAAAAGCAATTGCTTATTCTGTAGAAACAACAGTAAACCAAATGGATTGGCATTTTTAAGAAATAATGTTAGCACAGCCAACTCTTGTGACTCGTGTCCTAGAAACCTAATGTAAATCTATTAGAATATATTCCAATTTAAAACTAGTAATTTTTATACATTCTAGGGATTTCAGCATATAGTTTAACAACTTGGGCAAGTTATTTAACCTCTCTAAACTTTATTTTGTATTCTGTAAAAGAGATAACAGTACCTGCCTCATAGGGTCATTTTGAAGATTAAATAAGATAATGTATATAAAGTGCTTACTTTAGTACTTGGCACACAATAAATGCACATTTTTATAAGTTATAACTTAAAAATCTGAGACATGAGAAATGAAAATATGAACCTTACTCTGACTTTGTATTCCAAGTGTGTTTTGAGCACACTTACCAGTTAATCCTCTACACTGTGATCAGAGTGAGCATTCCCAAATACAAATTTCACTGTATCACTCTGTGTGTCTTTAGAATTAGGCCACATGTAGAAAACCCAAAATAACATTGGCCTAAACATACAAGATATTATCTCATGTAAAAGAAGTCTAGGACTAGAAGGATCCTTGGTTTTATCAGTGATCCAAACTTTAGTGGCCCATATTCTCAGCATGGGCTTCCATCCTCAAGGTCACCTAAAAGTCAAACCTGCCAACTGGAGTTTCCACCATCACACCCACATTCCATGTTGGAATTTTAGGCCAAAGAAGATGCAAGGATAAAGGTCCCACCTCCAATTGGGTGAGCTCTCTCTAAGTAGCCTTCTTTGAAGTTCCATACATATCAGAACTTAATTTCATGGCTACACCTATCTTCAAGGGAGTCTAGACAATAGCACCTTTCAACTGGGCATTTTCCAGCGCAGATAACATTACAGTTGTGCTACTGAGGAAGGAGAGGGACATGGGCAGGAATCTGTGGTCTTTCTCACGTTGGCATGTCTACTCCATGAGGCTCATTGCTCTACTCTAACATGCAGCACAGGATAAAACCCATATTTTCAAGCATTCTGTTTCAGGACTTTTACAACATGGCTGCGGAGGACTCTTCTCACCATGTACCTCTCACTAGCGCATCACTTCCTCTCTGCTTGAGTATCTCACTCCCTGTAGCTCTCTGAAGGTGCAGTGTCTCTGCACACGGTGTTCTCTCTGCCAAAATCTCCTTCTCCTTCTTCTGAGATTAATCTGTTCCTTTATAAGGTTCATCCTATTGAAACTGCTTGGTAAACTTTCAGTCACTTAAGACCCAGATCAAAAGCCACCGCTTTAACATTTTATCTAGTGAACAAATATTTAGTCAACAATAAACATATTAACAAATATGTGCTGTGTGCCTGTCTGTGCCAGCGCTGGGTTCTTAAGAGAGCTATCAGATATCTTTTAAGTGTCTAATGAACATTAGGCAGGCAGGAATCTGAGGAGTGCAGTATGGGTGGGGTAAGAAAGAAATCAGTGGGGGCTAAGAAGGTGATTTTAGGGAATCAAGCCTGGGATAGGCAGAGCTTGGACATAATGAACAGCTGGGTATGGAATGAAAGAGAAGCTAATGAAAAGATGACACCCAAGTCTTCAGGCCTCCCTGGTGGCGATGTGCACAACGACACAGAACAGGGGAGAGCTACTGTGCGTGTGTGTGTGTGAAGAGAGGGTAGTTAGAGTCATGGACAGTGAGCTTGCTGTAACAGTAGGACGTTGAAATAGATTATGTGATATCTTTTCTCTCTAAACTATTTTTGGAGATATTTTAAGCAAACAATAGCAAGCTTGTCTCAAAGAGAGCTGCTGTTGTCTGGTGCCAATTATGCTGTGATTGGCATTCCAGGTCAGAGTTATTTTATTACCTTGAACAGTAACGATCATTTTTGCTTTAATGCTGAACAAAAGGACATCCACTTTATTTGTTGCAAGGATAGATTTAGGTTAGTCATAATGACCTCAGTCTACTTTAAGCAAGTTAAACTCTTGAGTTTCTTCATTTATAAAATGGGGGTGAAAATAGTAACTAATCACGTACTTAGCCCTAGGATTAAATGATACACTGCACACAGAGCATGATGGCTGGGGCTTGGCATCTGGTACAAGTATTGATAGTACAAAATTTCTACTGTCTATTCCCAGAGTCTCTAAATATACTTTAAGGAAAAGGGGCACCTGTCTTGGATAGTTGGATTTTATGCTGACTGTAACCATTTGGTTGTAGCACAAGGGAAATAGGTACCTTCAGAAATAGACCTGCATTTGATGACAACAAATGACATCTAAATAAAAATCAAATCATATATTGTTTCAGGACGTGATTTTTGATTTACGCTATGGAATACAACTTGATATTGGTTATATCTTTTGGATATTTCAGGGTAAAATGATGGCATGTAAACACTGCAGTGACATTTTCAGCAAGGAGGGCGCTTTGAAGCCAGCGGCTGTAAGCAGAGAGGACCAGGGAATTGAGTCAGACGATGAGAAGGACTCACTTAAGAAGCAGCTGAGGGAGATGGAGCTGGAACTGGCGCAAACCAAACTGCAGCTGGTGGAGGCCAAGTGTAAAATCCAGGTTGGTGACTTGATAAAATGTCAACAATAAAAAATAAAGTTAGTGGTCTGGTATATTCTAGGACTTTAGAGTATACATATTTAGCTCAGAATCATAGGTGTTATAATACATACCTTTTTCCGGCCAAGAATGTGTCCTGCATAGCCAGATGTTATTATTTTTCAAAACTGATATAAACACGTAGATTTAAATGAATATTAATCATTAAAATGACATCTTGTGAGAACTTAAGCATATGCTTTTTTGGTTTACCCTGCGGTTTCTTGCCGAGGTCCTTTCTCACTGAACTTCGCCACTTTGGAAAATGAAAGGTCAAACCTCTGGTATTCCCCAGGTGGCTGAACACTGGCTGATACCCATTCCTTTTGGGGGGAGCTTCTCTTCATCTTTACCTGATTTTGCCACATCCCGTTCTCTATAATCTCCTTCCATATGGGAAGGCAACATAACTAGAAAAATAGCCCTGACTTCTGATGGCCTGTTCCCCTTTTCCTCTTTAGCAGTGATCCGTTTCCACCACGCGCAACCGTGGCTCCAACCTGCACCGCACTGGCCGTCCCCAGCTGTCTCTGTGCCAGACCTCGTAGGTTCTCGGTGCAAAGGCCGTGCATTTGGATATGGACTCACGCATGCTTGCTCTATCAGTAAAAATTAAATCCATCCATGCGTTTATGCTTCTTTGTGGTTTTAAACTGTTATCTCAGGTTGTACCCTAACCCTAAGCTGCAGGGGGAAAAAGATAACATGAGCACTGTTCAGAGAAGGCACAGATTGTGGTTTTTAGTGATACCTCTTCTAACTGTAAACTTTCTTTTTACACTAAGAAGCCAGTTAAATTTCTCCTGAGCTTTGTGGGAGGAAAACTATGGCTGTATTGACCTGGGGATTCCAAGAAGCCGTACTTGGACATTTTTGGCAGAGAGAAAACATTTATAAATCTCAGATGATTTTCTTTCTTTAATTAGGAACTTGAACATCAGAGAGGGGCCCTTATGAATGAAATCCAAGCTGCAAAAAACTCTTGGTTTAGCAAAACCCTGAACTCTATCAAAACGGCCACGGGCACCCAGCCCCTGCAGCCGCCACAGAGCACCCAGCCACCCAAGGAGAGCACATAGTTCCCGCCTCACCCCAGCACAAGAGCACAACGATCAAAGCAATGGAGATGCCGAGGACTCTTCCAGGTGTCCCTTTGAAGAAGGAAAGTAAAGGAGGCCAGAAAGCAAGCCCGCTCTTTCAGTGGCTCTCACTCTTTCTTGTATGCCACTTTCAAAGGGATGCTGTTTAAACTGACCTGATTTATGTTGAATACCTATTTTTGAGCTTCTTTCTTGGAAGGCCATGTTCAGATTCATCCTAGTATTATGCATTATGTTACATGCCTGCTCTTTAGCTGGAAATCAGTAATTCCAAACTAAATGCTTTTTATTGAGAACTAACTGTTCATAATTGTTTTTATCTTACATAAAAATGGAGATGTCTTTTATTCGAAGGTTGAAGTGATAGAGAGATATTTGCCATACAAAAAGAAATTAAAACCAAAACTCTTAAATTTTCAGGATTTATTCAGATAAAGCACACTATGGGGCTGGTCGGGACCACTGTCGGGTTTTCTCCTGAGAGTGATGACCTCTAGAGGGAAGAGCAGACCTGGGATTGAACAGTCCCAAAAGAAAGTTAGTTTATTTCATTTTCTGTTGGGTGCACCTAGAGACAAAATGCCAAGAACCATAGGATAAGACAGGCTGTTGGGAAGATACAGGAGAGAAAAGGAACTGAGGTTTTGATAAACGCAGGAAGAAATAAATCACTTTGGCCCTGGTATTCTAACAGGCCCGTTTAAGAACTCCACACGGGAACTGCAAGTTCCTGAGTATGAACACAGTTGTGAGTGCTGGCGAACGTCAAGTCGAAGTGGATATTGCGAGTCAGAGCCTTAGGAAACCTTCACCAGAGAAGCCTAGAAAGACCCAGGTTCAGCCATTGTGTTTAGAACTAGGGACAGAGTATGTCATTTAATGTTGACATATACTTGCTAAGGAAACACTAATATACTGTAACTTTGTTAAAGTTATGAAATGGGAAATCGAGGTCAGCTTCACGTCATCTTAGTTTAATGTTAGGCAGCTTTTCCTGATTTCTGTAGTGCCCCAAAAATGTGCCCTCGTTACTCCTAGGTGAGGATGCAAATGCGTTGGGAACATTTTTGATTGAATATGAAACCTTTATAGAAATACTTATCTCATGGAAAGGTAAAGAAAGCTATTGTTTAAAAGTTGATGGAAATATTTTTTTCTATTATATTTAACATGTATATATCAATAGTCCTTGCAGGAAATCCTTTGGTAGGGGCAAAACAAATTTTACCATTTTTCTAAGCTATTTTGGCGGCCTTTCTCTTTTTCCACCAACTCAACTACTGTCAGTTATATACAATAAACATTTACTGACACTCAGCCTTGGCTTCCTTGTTGAACATATTCTTTGCAAAAGGATCTTAAACTCTGTATTGCCAGAGTGATTCTCATATGTGCCATATGATACAATTAAAACTAACATACTCCTGGAGGTAAAAATCAAATAAGAGCCATCTTGACCAGGAGCACACACTACAAGTTGCTTCCCCCTAAAATGACCATTAAACTCTAAAAAGTGAAGTTCATCAGTAAGTGTTTATATCCTTTACAGCCCATACAACTGACAGGGTTGTTTGTTACACTCATCAAATAATACTTTCTTATAGAATTTTTTTGGGGTCCTGACATCTTTCATCATTTCCTTTTACCAAAAATGAAAATAAACCAGCATTCCAGTGTCTATGTTGACTTTAACATTCCCTACATGATGGTTTAGAAAACCTAATTTTATTTTTATTTGTAAAATATAATGGCTAGAGAATTGCATCTTGGTACTTGATTCTGTAAATCATTTAGTATAATCTGTTAGCTTTGCTGATACTTTATGCTTTGATTCCAAGGAGCCTTGTACAAGTTGCCTTATCAAATGGCCAGCTAAATTAAAGATGTTCTTTTGTGTTTTATGAATCTTATAGTTCTACTGTACTATAGTTCTCTTTTTAACTTCCAAAAATTGGCACATTCCACAGAATGCCTAAATTGTATAATATTCCTTAAATAAGAGTTGAGAGAGAAATAGAACGGCTCTAGGTCCAGTCCTTACCTGTAAACCTGGCTCAATTTCATTTTTTTCTTTAAACAAAATACCAGGTTTATACATTCCAAACATGTAATAAATAAATCTTTTGCATTTCCTTTTAACTCTTTTAAAAGATTATAAGGGTAACCTATAGATCTTTTCTTTTCCAGTTCCGTATCATACTTGAGTATGTTTTGGTACTACAGGTCTAAACTATTTTTCACTGCAATGCCTTTGGGTCAGTAGCAATAGTAAAGAGAAAGAAAAACAATTCAAAATATGGTATATGATACGATTATTCATACAATATGTTAAAACAGCATTATCCCAAACCGCCTGTCCTTCACCATGTATTGTTTAAAACTCATGCATCCGAGCATTAACTGCTAGTTTTAATTTCATTTATTTTGAAATATATTGAGAATTGCTACTCCTCTCTTGATTCCTTTGGAAAGAGATGAACCAGCCCAAATATCCAGGAAATTTTCAGATATTATGGAATATTTTTCATCTTTTCCTAGAACACACTGTCTAAAACACTCCTCTAGAAATCCCAACATTTGCAACATTCTGAAAAGCGAATATTTGTTTTTATTAAATTCTGCAAAATAAATTTTCAACTTGATTACTCAGTTCATTAGCTTTTATATCTTGAAAATCAAATACCATGTTCTTTAAAGTTGAAAGAAACCGAGCTGAATTTTGCAGTGCATGTTTGCTAGCTTCCCACATCCTGAGCCATGACACAATTTGGTTATATTTAGTTATCTATAATTTGATGCAGAGAAACAAACTGTTCCCTAATGTTCTGTATATGAGCGCCTATCAGAAGCACTAATAGGAAGGCTATACAGGCCTATGGGCTATATTAACATACAATCAATGCCTGCATTCCCCTCTCCTGGCTATTAAGTTGGCAGTTTCTGCTTCATTTGCTGTCTTTAACTTCCATAGGAAAGTAGAAAAGCAATCTTTATACTGATGTTGGGATATTTCATTGTATTTATTTTGTTTCATTTCTTCAAAATTTTCATTCTTTTATACTATGTATTATTTATTTTTCTCGCACTCTTACTCCATTTTCTTAAACTACTTTCCAGTTAATAACTAGTGGCTTCATTTCCTAGCTAGTGAGAAAAACAAGAGAACACACAGTTTAGGGTGAAAGAGGTGAGGGATCCTTAAAAGGGTTGATTAGTTACTTCGGAAGGGACAAAGGAACCTTTAAAAAGTTAAATACTTTATTTTCTCTTTTAAAAAGAACACTTTTAATTAGTAAGATGATTCTATTGTTTAACTTTTAAAAACAACACTTTAAAAAGCTCCGATTCTCTTGCTTCAGTTGCAAATAAATGAGAATGGACAGACTGCTGTTTGAACAGTTAGATTTGTGTGTGTAGAATTTTATAGTGTCCCTGCCTCTTGTGTACCCACATACCATGCACCTGAACACACACCTGGCGATCAAATACAGAAGGGCAGGTAACGGCTCAGTGGCCTGTTTCCTACCAGGACACTGCCAGGTAGGTATAAAGCTCTTGCCCTTGAGTTGCCATGCTCATGGTCACACTGAACTAGAACTGCTCCAAAACATCCTTTCTCTCTCATAGTGGCTTCAGTACAATAACTTCAAAGCCCTTTACCTTAGGAATTTCCTTGTCTTCCAAAAGCTGCCAAAATGAATACTTCAGTGGGGGCTACACCTAAATAGGAGATGATCTTGAGTGGTAATGAGAAAGTGGATGTTTATGAGTAGCATGGTGACTACAGTCAGCAGTCAAGAGTTCCCTTTTCAGCTTCCATCTAAAAGACTACATGTCCAGCTTATCTCCAAATGAATTTGTTACCTGCTATACAAACATCTTCATCAACATGTCCCATTCTCACCACCACCACCCCAGGTTTATCATCAGTGGTATTCTGAAAAATTTAAGAATAAAGAATCACTGAGTAGAAAATCAACGTTTTAAGTTCCTTTAGTTTTCATTGGCAGTAAGTTAACATGTAAAATCATTTCCACTGAAATGTAACATAACTATATATTATTTATAGAATAAAATATAGGAAACTGAATTATAAGGATATAAATGCATCAAGACTCTGGTGTCATGAAAGCACAATAAAGCTGGAGATGGCCCCAGAGTCCAAGATGTCCCAATAGCCTTTTACATCAGTTTCTCTATTTTTGGTATTTTGCATAATATATGGATCCTTAATTCAAATGAGAGGAAAAAGTTTCTGAGTCAGCCCCACTTTCTTTCAACTCCTACCTTTCCCTTGCTGAGGAGGTAGCAGAAATTCTCTACCATCTATTTTCATGAATTGTGTAATTTTTGTCTATGGTTTCTCTAATGAAAACGGGTTCTGGGATAAAGGAGTTGATTAGCCCCAATGACGCTAGTTGACTACAAAAGAAACAGTGAGCAGCCTCTCTCCTCTATATACACTGACCAATTAGATGTTTCCATAATTCCACGTATTATGCATAGTACACTCTATAAATGTAAATGTAATGCTTGTTAAGGAAAGTGCAATTTATTGTACATTGTCCCAACAAATGTTTACTTTTATAATCGTTACGAACTTGAACTGGATTAGTATATTGTTTTCATGTGTGACTGGAACCTTGTGAAATAAACAAGTGCAACCCAGAAGGTAACAGGTGACTGTTTTTGTGAGCCAGTGATGTTTTCAATGCTTTGTGTTGCCCCTTTGGCCCCATTAAGCAGTAATAAACATTTGTTCTCAAGTCCATATCTGTCTTTTCTGTTTTCTTCTAGTTGATTTTATTCTGAATCATCTGAACCCAGTGTTTATGTAACACTTCTTATTTGACACTAGACTTCAGTCAGCTAAGAAATAAAAAATCTACAGGAACTTGTTCCAGGCTCTACTTGCAGAATGTTGTCCTGTACAGCAGCACTGCCCAGTGCCCTATTTTCCTCTCTAGAGATTCCTTGGTTGCAAGTAACAGAAACGCTTAAGATAGCTTAATAAGACAAAAGGAAATAGGGTTTTTTTAAAGATCATAGATACCAAAGGCCAAATGGGGCCCGAAGAGGCACTGGGGCAAGGGACTGCAACGCCACCTGGAACCCAAGTGACTGTTGTCATAGAAATTGGGAGGAGGGGGTGTTCGTTTTTGTAGGCAAGCTGAATTTGATGTGCTTATTAGATGTTCAAGCAGAGGCAGAGTCTGGAGCTCACTGGGGTGGTGGAGCTGAAGATACAGATGAGAGAGAAGGTATTTAAAATCTTATATCTGGGGGGAGGAGTTGCCCCAGGAGTGTAGTCAAGCAAATTTGGAAACCACAGCATTAGTTCAAGCTTTCACACGGTGCAATGGGATATTTGTTCCTAATTAAGTACCTAGACAATTAGAGGCCCAGCCCCCCCCCCACACTGTCAGTGTCCAGAGGTTACGCATATATGCATATAAACTCTGATCAATCTCCCCCCACACACTCCGCGACTCCAGCCTTCCCTCTGAAATTCCTCAGACTGTCCCACGGTTCTTGGTCTCCATTTTGTTCATCAGTTTATATCTTTTTTTCTTGTCTGACTTGCTGATTCTAATAGCTGCCTTGGGCGATACCCAAACTGAGTGACTGAGGGCTATCAGACTTCTCAGGGTTTTTTATGTTCTCAACCACGCTGCAGACGTTTTGAGGCCGTCAGTGGCTAAAATGCCTGAAAAGTGGGCTCTCGGGGTCTTCTACTGAGAGGGGCTGCTGGAGCCGGCAGAGCGGAATGCAGCCCCCGAACCCACACCCGCGTGAGAGCGGGAGCCTCGCAGAACGGTCGGGGAGGGGGCGCGGGGCAGAGGCGCCCGGGAAGTACTTCCACAAACTACCGGGACTGGCGCGCTGTCACGTGGCCAACGCAGCCCCACGCGATCCGTGATGACGCCACCGCGTCGCTGATGCTAAATCGTGGTGACGTCTCTAGAGCGCCAGAACCCGCTGACAATCAAACTGTTCTCCTCAGGGTTCTCCACACTTAACTCTTCGTTCTTTCCCGTTTTAGAAACATGAATGGGCTGCCCCTGTTCCCTTTTTTTGTCCTGTTCTCGCAGAGGCTCACAGGTTAGCCTCAGACAAGATGACTGAGTAGTTGGCCGTGCCCCAGAGGGGACGGAAACAGCTGCCTCTTGAATAATCAACTTCCGATTTGGAGCCAGAAGATTTGTATGTCACATCCGGGTTGGGGTCCGGTTCACAAAGGCGGCGGAGCAAACGAGGTCAAAGTATAAACACAGGGTTGTCCTGGCAGAGAGGAAGTGGCGTCACTTTTCTCGCGAGAGTTGAGCGTTGCCGGGAGGCTCGGCGGGCGGGGCGGGGCCAAGCTGGGTTGGGCGGGGCTGAGGGAAGAGGGCCGCTCTGGGGGCTGTGACGCTAGGCTCGCGAAGGTTCCAGAGGCGCCGCGTGCGGTGGGCGGGCCGCGGTGTCCTGCAGGGTCGGCAGTACGTTCGGGCTGCGGGCGCTGCGAGCCTCGTGGGCTCGGCGTCTCCTGTTCAATTCCGCTCGGGGCTGTAGCTCGTGCCTTGCCTACCCAGCCGGACCATGGCTTCAGCCGTGGAGGAGGTAAGGGTCCCGCCTCACCTTCCTCAGTCGCCCCGTCGCTGTAGCCCGCCGCCGCCGCCGCCCCGCTTCCCTTGCTCATTGCCCTGCGGCCGCCTCATTGGCGGCTTCCTGCGCCGTCGCTTCCC